AACTTTCAGAATCTCTTTTCACAGAGGGGACACATGTTGATGTAGAAGAGACAGGAAAAAGTGGATTTTGCATAATAGGTGACCTTTAAGAGTACATTTTGCAATAAACAGAGTTCCATAAAGGTGTACAACGCAATATCAACCAATTTGGTGAGAAGAAGAGAAATACAAATATGTCACATAAAAAAACAATAGCATCAAATTGATTATGTTCAAGATAATGAACAAATAATGCAGAAAATAACAGCTATAAGAGCAAGAATATAATGATTATATTCAGTGTTGACCAACCATGCACAGCAATATGAAGAATTAGAACACAAACCAGCAATACCGATGCAATTAAAATAATAATAACATCGCTGTGACATCACTATGTAACACTTGCGCTTCCTAAAGGAAAGGAAAAACTCCAAAAAGCAGAATAGGGCCCCTTTATGTAAGTCAGTCAAATATTACACACTTGTTAACCATGCAACAGTTATAAGAAACAAACGTCAAAATTACGATTTTAGCACATTGTTCATAAAACACTACTAAAAACTAGGGCTGTCAAGTTAACGCGTTAACGCAAAAAAAAAAATGAACGCCACTAATTATTTTAACGCGATTAACGCATGTGTATTTTTTGTCCTCGGCTGCCCCGTAGTTTCAGAGCGCATCGAGTTTAAAATACCATCTACAAGCTGATGCTGACAGCCCCGCTCCTGCTGCCCGCTTGTGGCAGACCACACTTCCACGCTCACTGGCAGGCCCGGACTGGCCATCGGGAGGACCGGGAGGGTGTGTGTATGTGTGGCGCGACTCGCGAGCGAGGCACACCTTACGTGTTGTTGTTGTTGTTGTTAGCATCTGGTGCTAGCTAGCTGCGCTAACGGATATAAGGAGCTGTTTCAATGAAAACAGAGGAGCGACATTTCGCCGACAACTGCGCCGAGCACTTGACTTTATGCAGGTAGCCAGACAGTGGGACATTGTACGAAAAGTCAGCACACTCAGCACGGATAGTGCGCGCAACATGATTGCAGCGTCCTGGCAGCTCCCGTTCGAGCATATATGCCTTGAGCTGCACATAGCTCCAACGATCCATCACAGTGTCTCCACACACACACACACACACACACACACACACACACACACACACACACACACACACACACACACACACACACACACACACACACACACACACACACACACACACACACACACACACACACACACACACACACTTTGTATTGTATTATTGTATGAGAGAGGTTCCAGGTTGAATTGAGGCGAATATTTGTAATGTTCAGAGGTTGTTGTGTTTAATATTCATGAGAATATTTGTCATTGTTCAAATGATAATAAACAAACATATAAAGCATATTTGTCCACTCATATGTTGATAAGAGTATTAAAAACTGGAAAAATATCCCTCTAAGGTACATTTAGAACAGATACAAAATGTGCGATTAATTTGCGATTAATCGCGATTAACTATGGACAATCATGCGATTAATCGCGATTAAATATTTTAATCGACTGACAGCCCTTCTAAAAACATTAACTACATACTTATTTGTCAAGTTACAGTAATAATATATAATAAAATAAAAAAATGTCAAATACATATTGTGCAGTAGTTATAGCACTCATGTTTTTATTTCCAGGGCATTAAGGATTATGTTAAGCTCATCTGCTATTAAATATGCAATAAAGCACATAATAACATTTCCCTGGCATTGTAACTTTAAAGTTTATGACTAATGACTAAAGGGCCATAAAGTGGTTTTGCACATTAACAACAAACTGCATTCACTTTCCATGACTGCAGACGTCTTTCCATACCGTAGCTGCTTATTGATTTTGTATCAGTGCCAGGTAGACACAGGTTCCAGATCATTTCACAACACGATCATAATCAATAGCTGTGACTTCAAAAATGCTTCAGATACAGAATCCATATCAGGGGACATTTATCAGAGCCTCCACATTTCCTCTTCCTCTTAAGGTCCTTACACACCGAGCCGATTTTCGGCGTCGATAGATGTCGGGCCGTCGATGAGCATCATGTCGCCCTACTCAGATTGGTGTGTACTGCACCGTCGTGTCTTTTCGGCCGTGCCGACACCTTCCGCCGCCGATTCGACATGTTGAATCGGGAGGCCGAAATCACTCTGATTGGCTGTTCAGCTTAGCGAATCAGTGCATGAGAAGCGAAATGGAAGTGAGGGACCCAAACAAACTATTAAGAAGGCAAATCTGAGATTTCATTTAACTCCAGCTCTCGACACAGGTTCGGGAAAGCCCCATGAGCTTCTCGCTGTAGAGTGAAAATGGAACGGACACGCTATTTGTTGTTTGTTTATATCACGCAGTCTGTTCTTCTTCTCTCTGTGTATCACGCAGTCTGTCTTCCGGTTGTTGCCTCTTTTGAATGACGAATACACACTACCTTGTGTTGCGCTAGGCTTCTTAGAGGGCTGTAAATACATCTGAGAATCCAAGGTATTCTACGGAAACCTTCAATAAACATAGTTGAATGGGGAGCACCACCATTATGATATTTCTTTTCTAAATGTCCCATCATTCATTGCTGCAACTTTGTGTGCTTTAATGGCAGATGAAACAATAACAAGACCAGCTTCCCCTGAGATTGAAAAAGTGTGTCCTCCATGTTTTATATTCCAAAATAAACATTTTATGGATGAAAACCATGATCCTCTGCATGATGAACCCTCCCACCGCCTGCATAAAGGGATATCACAATAAAGAAATGGAAATGATTTAATACTTTTAATTCCATATTAAACCGTGCAGCAAATCTCAACCATGTTAATTGTAATTTCTTGGGGCCAATAAACAAACCAGCAGACAGAGAGTCCTCTAAAACCCATAAATAAAAACTAACAAGAAGGACGACAACATGAGTCGTGATTAACACAAACACTGCAGCTCCCAATAAGAGCGGCGCAGATGTTCCTCTTTAGTTTCGTGTTTGTTTCAAAGCGGACGCACTTGAATTAGGCTAATGCTTACTGGAGTATTGTAACAGCGGGGACTCTGTGTTGGTTTGTGGTGTTACACGGTGTGAGCTGAATGATTTAAGAGCTCTTACATTTTAAAACAGCCTCAGTACATTTCCAGATACGAAAACACGACAACACCGAGAGCTCTTCACGCCTTAAACTTGAGCACGTCTCTGGTTTTCATGCCTATTTAGAGTGAATTTTATATGAGGACATGGCGGCTTGGATAATCTACATTTTAAGGGGCTTGAAGGCTAATTATAATTGCAAATTGGTAACTTGACTCCTGGCCCTCTTTCGGCGCAGACCCAGTTTGAACTGATCATTAAAGGCTACATCCACTAAAAACTCACTCTCCTTTAATCCGCTCAGTGAGGACAGTTTCGGGATTTTCAAACATGCGGCTCATGCTGTGCTATATCATTTCACATCTTTATAAATTAATGTCAAATATAAATGCATTGGAATAAAATCAGCAGTTTCATTACGGTATGGAGATAAAAACACGATTAACACAATGGAAAAGGTTGAAGAAAATATAGGCTTTGTTTGCAGATATTTTTACGTTAACGAACAATCTGTTATTTTCTGCCTCTAGAGGGCTCTCAAAACAACAATAACAACATCAGGAGCGGAATTATCCGAAGAGGTGAACCCCTTTCCAAAAGAAACATGATAAAAAAAAACGCAGGACAGATGGGCCAGGTGCTAAAGGCTAACGTTAGCAAGGCAAGGCAAGTTTATTTATATAGCACCTTTGAACACAAGGCAATTCAAAGTGTTTTACAAAAATGAAAGACATTAAGAAATGGCATTTAAAAACAGTCATTAAAAAGCAAAGATGATAAAATATACATTAAAAGACAAAACACATGAATAAAAGTTACAGTGCAGTGTATGATATGAATAGTTCAATTAAAAGCAGCGCACACCATGTTTCTCTGATAGCTTAAGATCCTGATCACTAAAACCCTTCATGCTGTTCAGTTAGTAGTAGAGTATCCTAAAAGATTGTCAAATATTGGATAAAAAGTCTCTTCATGACCGAAAACAGCTCATTAACATTACAGATGTATCTATGTTGGAAATCTGGCAGTAGTGTGTCCTTGAATGCATCACCAAGGACAGTTTTCAAATATGTCTGGGTCTGGTTTCTCTCCTCTGCTTTTACAAGAAAAAAAGAGTTATGGATGTAACATGTAATTTGAGGACACAATCTCGAACCTTGGGAAATACCGATATAATTTTTTCAATGCTATTTTTTTTTTTTTTTTTTTTTTACAAGTCTTTTTATTTCATTATAGTGTACAATAATCGATGCCATTTCATTTATATTGTAATATCACAGTACACTCACTACACTCCCCCCTCCCTCCCTCCACCCACACATACCCGCACAGGCAAAACCAAAAAAAGCTTATCAATATAACTTAAACAACAGAGCCATGAAAGTAAACATAGAAAGGAAAAGGAAAAAAAATAGAACCAAAAAATAAATAAATAAAAAATAAAATAAAAACCAGACAAGTAAAACAAACAAATAATTATACAATACAAATAATTATACAATACAATTTCAATGCTATTTAATGAACGTATCTTATATCACTTTTAAGATAAATCAAGGATATAATTGGCAATGAAAAGTGAGTTAAGCGGCTTAAAAACACTGTATTAAGTCAACAACTAAATGAGACTCGGCAGAGTAATGGAGCTCTGTCTGCCCCCCTGTAATCCAGATGTTCGCTTTAATCAACAGTTTGGTTGTGGAAGTGCTCTGAGTTTTATAGCTGATGCATTGCCTCTTTAAGTCAGGCAATCCAAATAGAGAAGAGAGACAGAGAGAGGAGGAGGAGGGAGGCAAAGAGAGAGGTGAGAGCCAATAAGACACTCTGTTTGTGACACCTTGTGGTGAAGAGTGAGGGGGTGGCAGAGATGGAGAGAGAGGGGGGCACCAGTAGAGAGAGAGAGAGAGAGATCAAAGCAGAGGAAGAGTCAGAGGAGGATGAGAGATAGCAGCGCTGCAGAGAGCGAGCTCTGCGACGAGTGTTTACTCCACTTTCCCTGAGAGCCGGTTATGTTCCCTCTGCGTGACTCATGGAAGTGATTTAGGTGAGCAGAAAAAACCCAGATCTGTGTGTGTGTGTGTGTGTGTGTGTGTGTCTGCGCTGTGGGCAGGTAAGCTCCCTCTGCTTCTCTCTCTGGGTGTAAATCACTGTTTTATCTGCGAGGAGGAGCAAACAACTTCTGCAGAGTTTGGGTTGTGTTTAATTTTCCTCTCCTTACCTTAGCGCATCCCTTTAATGCACTTACCTCAACATTTGTATAGTTTTTGCTCGTGCGGGCTGTACGGTGGGACTGTGTAAAGTGTGAAAGTCGTGCTGCAGCCTCTCTCTGACAGTGTGAGCAGCGTTAAGCGTCTCAGTATTGACAAAAGAGTAGCCGACGGCTGGATGAGGATGAGAGAGGGATGAGTCAAATCTCCGCTTGAGGGACCAGGAGGGAAAATCAGCTGATAAAGATACCGATCTGTACCAGAAAAAAGATAATCCGGCATGAATAATTCTTGGCTGCTTGTCAGATTTATAAACTGCTGAGGTAAAGCATCTGAAAAAAATCTCTTGTGCACAATCTCTTTTTCTGGGCATCCTCTCTGGTTCCTTTTTGGAGGCAGGTGATGTTTTATTTGTGTCTGAGCTCTCCTGAGTGACAGCCCAGCTTTATCACAGCGTTCATCATGACTCAAGCTGCCAAACTGCAGCTCAGTTTGTGACACAAATCCCCCCCCCCCTCCATCCCCGCAGCACTGTGGGAATAACCTGCCTTCTTCTCACGGCTGGATTACAGTGATTTACTGCTGTGTTTGTGTGAGGTTTGACCTATAATGGCACCTAATGGCATCATATGTTATTTCCAAGAGGACACTGTCAGACAGGACGCCGGCGCCCAGTCACATCCAGGTGTGATATGGGGAGTTGTTATTAATGTTAGCTCTCCTCATGACCCCCATCAAAACTACTACTGGCTGAGGTGCCGGACAAGAATTAATGGACCTGTTAAAATTAGATATTACATTTACTGTGGGCTGGATTTACCGTCAGAGAGCACTTCCATCACTCTCTCTGTAAAGGACGAGCCCAGAGGATATTTTGACTTGTGTTGGCTTTAAAAAAAGATTGAATGTGCGAAATATTCCTCAGTCTTCAACGTCCCTGTTGGAAATCCTTGTCATTGATTTTTCCGCTTCTCCCCACCTCTGCTTAGATTGGTACAAATCTAAAACGCTGAAATGAATCAATAGAGGAAAATGTATTTTACCTGAATTGACCTCTTTCATGAGCCATGTGGGGAGAGAAAACGACTCTGACTTGTTTTCCGATTTCTTTGCTCTGTGTGAGCTGTCTCGGATTGAAAACCCTTAATCACCTTCCTTTAAATTCGAGACATCATATTAAAGTTTCAGTGCCGCGGCTGGGTGAAATTGCTCACGCTGGAGAATCAATAAACAAGCAGAAACAATGAGAGGGGGAAGCTCTACAGCTAGTAAACACATTTAACAACGTGAGCCGCGGCAGGTAGGCTTACAAATCACTGTCTTTTATTAAAGTCAACACCATCCAGCATGCACAAAACTAACCTGGGGGAATGTAGATTTCCCACCATGAGGGGACAAAAACTCATGTTGATCGTGCCGTACTAAACCTGCTGTCGCTGTTTTCTCAATAGACTACAAAAGGTTGATGATTGTGCGTAAAATAAGCCGCATTACTCGCTTGAAATATGGGTATGAAAGTCTCATGGGTGCAAAACCTGCAGTGCGACCTGGGATCTGTTTTGTGTTTACATATGTCCCTGTGTGTTGGACCCAATTACCAGATCGTTATTGGCACTTATTATGACTTTACTAAATAGGATTGGGTATAATTGGGATTGACGACCAATAAACATTAAAACGTTTTCTTGTCAATGTTCTATCAGAAACAGAAATCTTATCACAGTGGGACCCCAACTCCTTTCATAGCAGCACAGATTCCTCATGTAACCTGAAAGAGAAATCTGCACGAAAGAGCTTCTACTTAGTAACGTTTTCAGATTTTAAATGAGGTGCTTGGTGCCACATTTTTCATGCTCCTTCGTGTTTGCCATGATATCTTCCCAGATAAATCACAATTTTTTTTGTTTCTGCCATTAACATTCCTAAGTATTTAACAATTCCCTACAGGAATGCACTTATGATCAGTTTCGTTTTTTCTGACAAAAATGAACCTTAAACTCTTGAAGCTAGAATCTTCGCTTGAATCCTATAATCACAATATTGTCCAAAGCGACCCTAACCTAAGTGTGAATAGACTCACGATCTAAACCTCTGTCTTTTTTGTCCCAACATCCACCTCAACCAGCTCCCTACAGCCTCTGTTCTGTTAGATTTTATACAAACCTTTCCAGTAAACAACTCTCAGGCAGCAAATACAAGAGAGATAGGGCTGCAGACCAATTTCTGTCTTTTAGAAAATAAATCATGCACTCGAGTGTTAGGATTCAGGACTGAGTCATTCCAGTATCAACAGATATACCTTCCATTTGGCGAAAAATCGATGTTTCTTATCACTAACGACAAGGTTGATTACAATTTGAAAAACTGCAAAAAGAGCCTAATAACTCAAGAAGATCTCCATCAACCCTGGAACAATAGAAAGTGTGTTTTCTTATTTCTTTGCCCTTCAGAAGTCTGTCTCCCTCTCAGCTTCCCCACGATGAGATAAAGTGTGAAATATTTGGAAGGTGGGTGGACTGCCTACTTTTAAACAAGCAGGCAAAGTCTACACGGCCATCTGCTCGCACCAGAATATCTTTTTGAATCAAAGCTGCAGCTTCACAAGACTCTTTCTTGCTCTCACAATCTAGCATCTTGTTATAGGAGCGAACAGAAACACAGCACAACATGTGAGTTTCATCTAAAGCAGGGGTAGCCAACACGGTGCCTGCGGGCACTTAGTCGTCCGCAGGGGCAACGTGAGTCGCCCGCGGGACATATTCTAAAAATAGCTCGCCAAGCAAATCCAAAATGTAAAAAATACACAAAACAAAAGAGGAAATGTAATTAAAAGAATCTACCTTATGCATAAACGAAACCTCAATCATAGCGAACTCTATCTACTTACTACAGTTCTATATCTATCTAACACCCCTCCTCCCCCCACCCCCACAATGAATATCGACCAATCACGTTCTTGCTTGATTTGCGGGACCAGCGTTGCAGTCGGGAAGAAAAGTAATGTGGAGCGGCACCTCACCGCTTCATAAGGAGTTTGACCATGATTTTCCTTCTGGCAGAATCTACAACACATCAGCCCCATTGAACAGCCTAGTCGTGCCAGCCTATACAACACATGAGGAGCAGAGTTTTACTGTGTGTGCGTTGCAACTTGCATATATATTTATTGCACTTGACGCACACACATGCATGGCGTTTATTTTACAACACACTTTACATACTGGTCTTATTCAAAAACGTTTATATTTATCACAAATGTTAGGCAAATTATGTAAAAAATATAAATCTAGTTTACTTACTGTACTGTGTATATATTTTTCTTATGCAGTTTATTAAAATAAAATGTAAAAGAGGAGGATTATATAGTGCTATTTAAAGTGTGTTACCCTCAAAATTATGTTTTGTATCCATGCTTTATTAAAAAACAATGATTGACAGCACCATACTTAATCAAATCTAAAGTTGTATTCATGAAATGCTAATACACTTCATACAGAAACAGTGAAGCTGCATAGTTTTGCGTTAAAAAGGCCATAGTGCAATGAAGAAGAGTTAGAATGAATATATGTATTGGCCTGGCTTTCGGGTGGGCGGTGTGATTTTTCAGTATCTAAAATATAACAAATGATTGATGTAACAGTGATAAGGAACACTGCACAAGAACATTTGGTACAAACTTGAGTGCATAAATCTGCTTTCAGAAAGTAGACAACAGTTTCTGGAGATGGGCGATAATGAGGCACTTTTTCTCCTCAGTCTCACCACAGATGTTTGGGAGGTTTTTTTGGGGAAACAGCACAACAGCTTTCTGTTTGTGAGTCTGAGTCTTAGCTCCGACTGAACATGCCCTCCTCCGCCTCGAGTGGCCAGACCGTGGGAGAAAATGCATTACAGTCTTTTGAGTTACAAAACAAAATGAGTCACCATTTATTGTTTATTTCTTCCTTTTCAGGCCGACTCTTTTAGTCATTAAGGATCAATGCCAGTCCTCCGAGTGAAGAGAATAAACGCCGACAACAACCCGACCACTTCAGCAGGCAGGTAGGAGTTTAAGGCTCTTAAAATGGGCTGGAATAGGAGTGGAGAACCAGATCCAATTGTCTGATCCAAACATCAAACAGTGCAAACTATATGCAAAAAGATATGAACTATAGTGATACTGAATGACAGCACTGCTGCTTCTAATATCTTGTTTTTTTCAAACTTAAAAAAGACATAATACAAATGATGGTATGTTTACACAATCACACTTGTTTAAATCTTAATTAAATTCAGTCATGTCACTTTTGGACAATATTAGGAAATACGAATTCATTAGTAATAATAATTATCGCATGCACATGAGCACTACACTTCAATGTCCACGTACTGTAACACCAAATAATCAACCATAGTGTAACTGTATATTTGTTAAAAAAACATTGCAATAAAAAAATGTATTCATTAATAAATAAATAATCATTATAAATAAAAGAAAAAAAAGACTATTTTTATTAAGGATTAAAAAATATGTAAAAAAAAAAGAATAAATACATTCATAATGATTTTTTTATTAAGGATCAAAACAATTATTTGAAACCTCATGGGCGCCAAAATAAAAGATTGCCGTGTATTTCAAACTCAATGCATTAGTGCCACTATGTGTCAGGGTTTGGGGTAAAGCAGGACCCAGATGCAGTTTAAGGAGAAGCGGGTTTCAAACATAAGCAAGCTTTAATCAATAAAAGCTGTTGACATGGCAAACAAGACAAAACCATAAATCCAAAACACGTGGCATGAGGACAAGGACAAAAACCAACCTGGAGCGTGACAGGAAAAACAACGATCCGACATGGAG